CAAAATTTGATGTATTTTAGCTATTTATATTATGCAATATGTTTTTTTTATTGGTTAGTTTGTTTTTAATTGGATATATGATATTTTTAATGTAAAAAGACAAAAATTAAAATTTATGTCTTTTTTAAACTTCGCGATTTTGTCTTAAAAAATCTTATATATTGGGACTGTAGGAATATTTCTTTTTATATCAATTATTTTTTAATCTTCTCTCTCTCACCTCGCCTCTTAATTTTGTTATATAAGAGCCTCTATATAATCTGTATGTGAGAGAATAAAAAAAATACATCGATCGTTCTTGTTCTTAAAAATCCGATATATAATGAAAACGAGTTCACGTGTTCCTCGTCAAAAGAGTGTCTCAGTGAGTACAATCTTCAAGTGTCTTCTGGTTTTGATCAGACGCTCTATTAATAAATTCTCTTAGTGATCATCTTTTTCAAACCCCTTTCTTATTAACTGTTTTCACTTATTTTTTTTTTTTTTTAAAGCAATGAATTAAGACTCTTTCTTTCAATTCCGAATCCTCGAGCTAGGGTTTCTAGTACTTAAGGTTTTTTTTAGAAATTTTGTAATAAAAAAACAAGAATCAAGAAAGAAGAATTAGAGAGATGGTGAGAACACCATGTTGCAAGGAAGAAGGAATAAAGAAAGGAGCTTGGACTCCTGAGGAAGATCAAAAGCTTATTGCTTATCTTCAATTACATGGTGAAGGTGGATGGCGAACTCTCCCCGAAAAAGCTGGTACATTTGTTTCTTTTTTTTTCCCCTTATGGTTTACAAATTTTATCAGTTTTTTTTTTATATAAACAGATCTTATTTTATATAATCTGTGCATATATAGGATTGAAGAGGTGTGGGAAGAGTTGTAGACTGAGATGGGCAAATTATTTGAGACCCGACATTAAAAGAGGAGAGTTTAGTCCTGAAGAAGATGACACTATCATCAAGCTTCATGCTCTTAAGGGTAACAAGTAAGGATCTTTTCCTTATTTACTACATTTTGTATTACGTAATTAGTATTTAAGCATATTACTACTGTATAAAAGATCATAATATTACATACAAGAGATATGCGTAACTGAATCTCGAGAGAGATCAACTTTGACATTAGTGAGACTTTGAAATATTCTAGAAAATGATAAAATGTTTAATTGTACCTAGTTTTTTTTTTTAAATCTCAAAATAAAGTAGCAAGTAATCAAAGTTTCCCCATGTTAGTCAAACAATTTTTTAACAGTATGTAATTCCTATTTTAATGTTCCTTAAAGGCGTAACGTAATTTTATTATTATTAAAATACAATATGATACTATTATAGGGCCAAAAAATGATTTTTTCTTTGTTTCTGTGATGCAAGAAAATATTCATATTCTTTTTTTTTTTTCAACAAGCAAGTAGTTAAATTTAATATCCATCGTAAAAATGTACTCCAAATATTTTTATTTATTTCTTATTATGGTGTTTGGTTGATTCTTGAAGGTGGGCGGCAATAGCCACTAGTTTGGCTGGACGAACTGACAACGAAATTAAAAATTATTGGAACACAAACCTCAAGAAGCGTTTAAAGCAAAGAGTTCTTGATTCAACCACTCCCAAACCGATCAATTTAACCGGTAAAACCGGTCTCGAACCAAAAAATCATAAACCGGTTTATTCATCCGGTCCCGCTAGGCTTCTTAACCGGGTCGCAAGCAAATACGCAGTCGATTTAAACCGGGATATACTAACCGGAATCATAAGTGGAAACACCACAATCATCGCCGAGAATTCACAAAATTCCGGCGAAGTCTATTCTCCGACGTCCACATTGGTCAACAGTTCGGTTCTGATCAAACCAATTCCTTACACTGCGTCAACATCTTCAGGCTTCTCCGACAACTGTTCACTCTCCGATGATTTAACCGATTTTCTTAACAACGAAGAGATCTCCGACGTGTATTCGACAGTCGATAATTTTGAGCTTATGGAGGAGTTAAAGGGCATTTTAAGCTACGGTGGTTCCGGCAACGGAGGTCTTGAAGATTCGCCGGAGTTTCTTGATTCTTGGAACGTAGAAGACAATATGGATTTAGAGAATTTTGTGAGTTCGTTAGATTCCAAAGTAGGTGTCTTTTTCTAACGGGTCAAAAACTAAAACCAATCTCACGTTGGTTTTTTTGTTTGTTCTATTTCTGTGATGCATGAGTGTATTCGCCATAATAATAAGTTGTCGTCATGATAAATCAATAATAACAATTGATTTTTTGTTACATAATTACACAAATTTGTTTAAAAACACGAAACTGATATTTGAACTATTTTCTGAAAATACGCGATTTTTTTTTGTTATGATCAGCGATTAGCGGAGCCAATGAATCTATTACACATAGAACTAGATGTTATACGAAATTACGAACCAAGCTAACAACACTTGACGACTTGACCAACTTGAGATATCCATTCCATGGCTCAATCACAGCTTCGATCTTTAAATTTCTAAAAATCGCTGGTAAAATATCTTAATTGGAAAAGCAAAAGTTTACTAGTAATCTGTCTTATTCAGATCAATAATTAAAGTGTTGGAAAAATAAAATATATTTCTCTGCTAGACTGATATTCCCTAAAAAAGTAAAAAGTGAATCTCCCGTTCGTATAAAATATTCTCGATGACAAAGATAACATGGACGTCTACGCACGACTATTTTTTGGCAGATTCACGTGAATGCGTAATCTTTATAGATTTGGTTTCTTACATATTTATTATTACTACGGCCCTAAGGTACACATACGAGTATATGCATAATACGATTCGAGAATCATTATATGTTATGTAAGTTGCATTTAGATTTATATATAAAACTAAAGCTGTCCATGTAGAAAACTTCAACATCCTTGACATGTGCAAGGCACACCTCTCTAGGCATATATACACACCTATAGTATTTGATAAGAGCTGTATATAGAAGGGTATAAAAATGGATCAATACCCATAAATTACCTAAATCCTCCCATTTTAGTGGATAAGGGTTGAATTTTTCTACCCATATAAATAAACAGATTTTGGTGGATTACCCTATTAGAGTTATAAGTTTAATGGATAAATCCATTAGGATTGTGAATAATCCACGGGTTCATCGTAAAAATAAAAAACTAATATATATTAAAATATTTTAAAAGATTAGAGTTTCCTAAACATGTTCTAAGTTTTACTTTATACAAATACCGGAGTCGGTTACATGTCTAAGCTTTACTTTATACAAAATATTGGTTATTTAGTTTTACAACTAATGAAAAAGGTAA